ATGCTGACTTATTTTAAGGAATTTGAACAAAGCCTAACCAGGGGTGCATTTTCTAAAAACCAACTATGGTCACAATTTCTGAGTGTCGTTACAAGGAATAGAGTAGAGTTCAAACTTGCGACCATAATTAGCTAACAATGCTTTTGGGAAATGCACCCCAGGCCTGTTTCTAGCAACAAGCAATTGTTCCACATTGAATGCAAAACTGCTGCTTAAAAAGACACAACCGCAGCGAAACAGACGTTATTTAAAGCACAATTATCAAAAACACAATTTTGGACCGATGGGATTTTACAGAAGAAAAAAAAAAAAGCAGATCGATAAACTGCCCTGTTGCTTGTCACGGTCATGACTGGTTGGAACAAAAACTCAGATTAACATGGAAGAGCATTTATTGCTTGTCACTTTATCGTGGTTTCACACTGTTTGATCTAAAGATATGAATAATACCTGCAGCTTTGTAATAGCGAACTGCGCTATAACTTTACAAAGTGGTAAGACTTTTATCTGGCAGACTAGAGCTGTATCTAGAGACCATAGCATCAATACAATATTGACTTAGACTAGACTAGTAAGCAACTATCATAATCCAAATCACTGCAATAGCCTCTTAGCTATGCTGAAGCAACAACCCTAAACATGCTAGCAACCATTTAGGTACAACCTGATGCAAAACATTCTCACATTGTTGTAGAAAATGTAAAAATATAGCTATAGTATTGAACCGTTTTAGCTTTGTTGATGAAAAATGCTGATGGATACAGGTGCACAATTAATTAAGGGACTTGAACTGTCAGACAGACACTAATAAAACATCAACATTCAAACATATGGCAGATACACATGCTGCATGAATAAGTGCTCTGTGTGTTCTTGATAAAAGATGCATTTTAAGTGTCTAATGAATATGGTTAAAACAACAACATTCAGCAGCTTTTAAAACACTTAAGAATAATCTGCCATCTGAGAACTATACAGAACCATAGGTGGTCTCAAACACACAGCACAGTGACAAAAACACCTGCTCACCTGCTGCACTGACATTTATGCTAATTGTTTGATCCCATCTGTGGAGCAATAGAAATAACTGAAGCAAACAGTTTACTGGCAAACAATTCTGTGTTCCCAACACATCCTTGCAAGTCATGTGTGTTAAACATCCTATAGCTCTGTGTAATTATTCCTATCGTAATGATTCCGTAATTAGTATACATAACCTCTCCACACATCCTTTCACCCAGAGTCTGATTTCAACAACCAACCCTTCCCTACGATCTCATTAAGTATCTGTATAGAAAGTCTATACAGAGAGGTAAGGGTTTTCTAATTTGCCTGCAGCTCCCTGGCACAGCAGATGGGAAACGATGACAGCTCAAGATCCCTGCACAGTCTCTGCTCGCTGTACTGTCTGCATCAGAGACGTGGTCGTGTTGTAATCTTTTATTCACATCGGTCACAAATAATAGAGTGTCAGCTACAATCCAGTGCACACTGGGCATAATAGAGCTGGGCAAAATTCTGAATTTAAGAATTGGCTTTGTTTCAATCCATGAGTATGAATGCGAATTGAATGCCCCACTGGTCACATTGGAATATGAACTGGAATGACAGGAAGAGGAATAGAGTGAACTGCAATTCAAAAGACAATCTTAGGTATTCCGTTTTAGTTTATTTGTTATTTATTTAATAATTTTATTTGGTATATACTGTATGTACACATTATCATTCAAAAATGTGGGTTTTAAAAGAAACTAATACTTTTATTCATTTAGGACACAAGTGATCAAAAGTGACAGTAAAACCTGTTACAAAATGTTGCAAAAGATTTTCCAATTTAAATTATTCTATTTCTTTTAAACTTCCAATTCAAAGAATCCTGAGAAAATGCATTGCTGCATTTTGTTTCGCCACAAAAATATTAAGCATCACTGTTTTCAACATTGATTAAAAAAAATTTTCTTGAGCACCAAATCAAAATATTAGAATGATTTCTGAAGGATCATGTGACACTGAAGACTGGAGTAACAACTGCTAAAAATTCAGCTTTGCCATCACAGGAATAAATTTGATTTTCAAATATATTAAAACAGTTATTTTAAATTGTAACAATATTTTCACAATATTACTGTTTTTACTGTATTTTTGATCAAATAAATGCGTCCTTGGTGAGCGCAAGTGACTTCTTTCAAAAGAAATATATATTTTATTTTAATAAACATCATTCAAATTTTATATTTAAAACATGTTAATACTGTATTTATATAGACAAAAACAACAATAAAATGTATTAATTTATTAATCAATTATAATGCCAGGTGTACGCTTAATAGACTTTTCCTGATAGCATTCTGGCCATCACTTCAGCAGGAGATGCGACTATTTGCATGCTGATTCAAGAATATCTAAATGCTTTTATAAAGACAGAATATGCAATACTGAATAAAAGGATTATGCAATATGAGTCATGTGTTTTAATATAGCCTACTGTACCATCGAGTTAATCCTCCTGCGACATTATTTAGCAGGCAGAGAATTAAGCCCCATTATAAGCAACCATTACACCGTAATCTATTTTTCCCCATTTCCTCTTCCAACCAGGAACTGCTGATTTTACACAAAATAATATTAAGAGCAGCAATTTTGGAAAACAATCCTCTGTGCTCACTTCCGGAATGGGAAACATTAAACCCACTTCACATACTGGTATGTTAGATGACATACCATTGCAGTAGCTTTTGACCTTGAATCATAGATAAATTATGCACGTGAACCGTAACGCAACCCTGGTCTGAAGCAAAGCCAAGTGCTTTAACAGTGTAACAGCTACCTGTTCCATTATGCACAATCAAGTCCCATAATGGGCCTGTCTGCAAACAACACAGGAGACAGCCATGTGTGACACCGAACACTTTTGGCCTGGATGTGGCACCCCAGTGAAGTTTACAAGGACAGAAGGGAAGGACACACACCTGAACAAGCATGTGGAGGGATGACTGCAATTTGAGAGAAGTGATGATGTGCTTGAACCAAGAAAAAAAGCAAGCTGGAAGCAGGCCTGGTCCACTTTGCCACATTTGCAGCTGTCAGAAATTATAGGCTGGGGCCCTTTAGAGGTTTTTTCGTGGCCGCTGAGGTCAAAATCAAAAAGGAATGTGTTCCACCAGATAGGCTTTATTACGAGTCTGTGTTTTAAAGACCTTTACTCGAGACCTCAGTGATCCCTGTTAAAGTTCTCCTAAGAGGCTACTAGCTGCAAAAAGGCGGCAGACAGTTAGCAGCTCCCATCAGAACCTAGACTATGAGCCTCGGCCCTTTCCTTTCACTCTGCTGCCCACATCAGCTAGTATGTCGGCTACTGAACCGGTGTCCAATTAAAATCACTCTGCTTGGACTGCTTCCCAGTTCAACTGCATTGGCAGGGACCTCTAATGTTCAGACTGGGAAAGATGAAAACGAGTGCAATCTCATTCAGCCAGACTAGCATTATCGAGATTTCTTCTTTTGTAGGTTTGAAAGGTGAAGATCATTACAAAGCACTCGTCTTTTCAGAAACAAATTATTTCAAGTGTTTTGCATGACTCTGATAAGAAATATCATCCTTTCTCGCTATAGAGACTATGGTAGAAGCTTGTGGATTGTTATAACAGCACTAATACAAACATTATCTGGTAAAAATCAATTATAATGCCAGGTGTACGCTTAATAGACTTTTCCTGATAGCATTCTGGCCTAAACGTATGAACCCGAAGAGTCAAATTGCAGTATCTACAGCCATTCACGAGACAGAAACCCTCCATATATTGTAGAAAATAAATAAATAAAAAAATCCACACAATATTTTCTAGATGCTGTGGTAAGGAAATCAATAGCAACACTGCAGTTCCAGCCCATTCTAATTGCGTTTCAAGTCAGGGACGTTGGGCTACTGTCTGCTGTTTTACGAGGACCAACAGCGCTCTCTAATGGACATTTTAAAACGACACCCTCTTCGAGAATTGGAGAACCACATCAAACTACTTCCTCTTCTTTCACTGTCTCTGAAGATTACAAAAGGGTATCGGCTTCAAACAGGCCCTCAGAAGAAGCACTGCTTCAGCTGCTTCTGTGATCCATCAGAGCACTTCCTGTCGTCAGTGTTGTAATACAAGGTATTAGCAATCATATCAATGATGGCACCTTGCCTGATAGCCTGACCAGCTCCCACATTCATATCACTGCCAAAAAAATTAGATGGTCCTCACTGCAGAACACAAGATCCAGGGGGCG